GTGAGGATGGTGCCTTGAAGCCCCAAGAAGGAGAGGGCCACCCCCTCTCCTTGTTGTCCTTGAAAAGGACCATTTTTGGCCTCTTGAGGGAGCACCTAGCTAAGGCTCTTGTTGACCATGCCTTAGCTATTTTTTGTGCTTATTATGTCATAATATGCCTCTATTTTTAGTTGGTTTTGGTACACCATGCATACTTAATATACCTACCTTGTAATGCCATGTTTAGGCCTTAACATGCCTTAGGTTGTAAACCATTGTTCAAGCATGTTTTAGGTCTAGCTTTGTGAAGCTTTTGTGCTTATTTTGCCATGCTAGAGGTCTGTCCTTAGTTGTTTGGGTCGACCAAGGCATGCTTAGTATAGCCCCTTTGCATTTTTGGTTTGTTGGCCTTAAGTGTGTGAATGTATAGCATGCATCCTTGCCTTAATTCAGTGGGTTGGGACCATTTGCCATGTTATTTCAGTCCCTTTAACATGTTTGCATGCTTGCCTTGGATGCCTCTTTGAAGCTTTGGAAGCTTGTGTAGCATGCTCCATGTTTTGGTATTTGTGCATGCTTTTGAATTTGAGCCACTTAGATGCCATCATAGTGTCCTGGTGTTGTTTTAGGTTCAATTAGACATATTTTAAGTGCTCTTAAACCTTGGAGGCTTGTTTGACTTAGTCTTGGTTAAGCCTCTTGGCTGTCTTAGGTTTTGGGCTTTGTTGCATGGCCTTGTTTATCTTGTTAATTGGCTTAGCACCTTTTGTAACATTGATTTTCAATGCTTACATTGCATTGCCATTAGTCGCATTTTATGCCTCTTTCAAAGTGTGCTTGAGGGTTGCCCTTTTTGCGCTTAAGTATAGCCCCATTAACATGTGCATGTGTGCCAAGTGTGTTTGGTTCCCATTTCTTAAGTTTTTGGCCACTGTTTTAGCGTCTAGTTAGGAGTTGCCTAATTAGTTTAAGTCCATCCTTTTGTTTGTTGCATGCTCTCTTGGTATGTTGTAGCATATTGGTGAGTTGTTGCAATATTTGAAAATCACATGATCTGAATGAAGTCACATGTTGGCTTACATGCGTGAATGCCCACATAGCCTTGGCACACTTGTTAGTTTGCTTGCTCTAGGCCCTGCATTTCTCTTGCATGCTTCATTTTGCATTGTTCGTTATTGCAATGCCTAGTTACACGCCTTAGGTTGCATTGCATTGGCATACATGCTTGCCTCTTGACTAGCCCATGATAGAGGTTAAGTCACCATTGGTTTGATTGTTGTGCATTTGCATTTCATTTGACATGAAAATCATACTTGGTCTCTTGGGCCCATCATGCATTGAAATGCGCGATTGATGGTGCGAGGAACAAGGAGGGACCAGTCCCTTTGAGTCATACAATGATAAGGATAGGTTTGGTGCATACATTGCGTGAATTGTATTCCATGCTCTGCCTTGCCCTCTTGCTGCTGTCAATTGCAGGTTCTGGCAGGCACTTTCTGCCGATCGACTGAATAATGGTGCCGACCCGCAATCCTTCCTGGGCCGATAGCTTTCAGCAACAGCCGGTATCATATACTTACTGCTGGTGGCCATTCTACTCAGCGGTGGTGTCCCCAATGTCCAGGGAAGCAATCCTGAGACTTGGTAAGCCTTCAGAGGAGGATAGCAGGGAAAACAGAGGCAACTTCGCATGGCAGTTGCACTCCGAGCAGGACCAAGCACGCCGCGCATCGAACCCTCTTCCCGAGCCCCTGTTATTGCTTTCTTATGCTTAGTTAATTTGCTAATTAATTAGGTGATTTGTAATGATTTAATTAGCTTGTAGGTTAATTATCTGTATATATTTATTTGGTCCCTCCGAGCGGGGCGAATCTGTAAATAAGTGTGGGTGCGTTATGTGTGCATGTTTCCAATCCCCACTTCTTTCTTCCTTTTTACTTACCTGCTTGATGGTTAGAAATAGGACATGTTTAATTTAGGCATACCTTATGCTACGCATGCGTGCATCCATACATTTGTCTTGCATGCACCGGGCTCGGTACATCATGCTAACTGCATTTGTTATTTCAATTCCAAATTGAATACGTGCATCAATTGATTGCATTTCACATCACATGTTTAGGTTAGCCGAGCCTACTCTAATTGCCTCCTGTATGTGTTGCATTAGACATTAAACATGGACTTGGATCATGCATTGTTTACTAACGAGTTTATCTGTTTTTGGGCATGGAGTACGATGTAAGTATTTTCATGCTTTAGCATATCGCATGCGTGTGAATGCTATCATGACAGCATGCTTACCATGTGGCTAGATGCTTATGTGATAAACTGTTTGGATGCCTGTGGGTGAAGGTTGGATTGTCTGAGTTGGAAAAACTCGTTGAAATCCGTATTTTAGCCTACTTGCGAGTAGCAAATTCCAAAGTGTTTTTCAAGACAAACGGATATGCAATGCTTATTTCCAAATTAGGCAATCTAGTCTATACTTGTTTGCTGTGCGCATAACATAGTAATTCTAGGCTAATAACTGGAATAAGAACACATAACGTTTTCAAAAACAGATATCACGGTTAGTAGAGGCCGATCTTCGGATCGGGCGAGAGGGGGTGCTCATAGCTGACCTTTCCCAATCGTACCCAAGCTCCCGAGCCAAGGCAACTTTGGTGATGACGGACACGTGGCCTTTGGCACCAAGTCAGGGTTTCCTAAATTCTCCTATTTTAAAATATTTAGGTGGCGACTCTGTATCTGGCAAAGCAGTCCATGTTTGACACTTTTTTCAAAAAAAATCTGTTTCTCAAAACGATTTACCGGATTTGGACTCTTTGGTTCAGATTAAGAACCGTAACAAAATCGAGTCCGAACTGTAGCGAGGGGCCCCACGCGGGCGTGCTACAGGGTGTCACAACAGTGCCTACAATGGGATCCCATCCCAGACTAGTCTATGCCTGCAGTCGCTTAAACGTCTGGTAATCAGCTTTCAATCGCTGATATTTTTTTCGCACCTGCTTTGTTGTATACTGAAATCCATACAAATTGTGCAACTGATTTGTAAAATGATTCTAATGCCTAATTGTCCACACAGTAGTACGGCCCGTTGTTTGATTTTTTTTAACCTCTTCTCTCAACATGTTTATTAATTTCATTTCAATTATGGGAGTCCACATTTTTGTATTCTGATTGTCATCGGAATTGTTTCTATCCACCTATAAACATACAATTTATATTTAAACTACTCTAGAGTGGATATAAAAGAATAACAGAGAAAACTACTCTGGAGTGGATATAAAAAAATAACAGAGCAAAAACCAATTACAATTATTTATGTAGGAACCAAAATTAATATTTATTTGAACTTGTTAAATAATGTTAGAAAAAGCAGATGGTTTGAAGGGCAACACAGATAAAAAAATAAAACCACATAACATTAATATTTACTTCGACTTGTTAAATAATGTTATGAGAAGCAGATGATTTGAAGGGCAACACAGAAAGAAAATAAAAACACATAACATCAATGTTTATTTGAACTGTAGGAAAAGCAGATGATTGAAGGCCCAAATAGAGACAAAATAAAAATCACATAACATTGTCTGTAAAAAGTTTGTGAAGTAAGTTTACACAGTAAAAAAATAACCACAAATAAGCAGAAGAAGAATGCCATAAGAAGAAATAAGTAGAAGCAGAAGAAGAGTTGAAGATAAGAATGAACAGGGAGGTCGACCGGCCGGATGACCCGGGGGACGACCGGCCGGATAACTCGGGGGACGACAGCTCAGCTTCAACCGTTCAAAGAGTTCAGACAGATCAAAAACTATCTCTATACTCGTTTGGACTTCTCAAAAATCATTTTAGAACTCATTTGCACATAACAGATGATTGAAAGATATACTTACCAGATTAGTGGGTGTTGAATAGTTATCACCAGTGATAGAGTGGGTACAATGACTGAATGTGCGACTCTTTGGTAATCGTTTGATTCAACAATAGGTTTGATAAATTTGACCTCAGACAAAAAAATTGGGAATAAAATTAGGGATGATTTTTTTCAAATCAATGACCTGTAAGAAAATATGTGAAATAAATTTGTGATTTGTTTGACCTTGGTGTCATTGTTGTTTGGTTACCCATAGAATGAATCTTCCACAACGCACAAATTGTAACTCACTTGATTTGTGGGAGATGGTATGAGTAGGGAGCGAGTTCACAGGATTCATGATTTATAAAATGGTCTGAGTTCTCTGTGAACACTACCTGTGACGAATCTTCAATCTTGATCTTTGAAATAGAGAAAGATGAGTAGATCAGTTCACGTGAACCTTTTCAGAGACGATGAACATGGAAGCTTTTCAGAAAGGAAAAGAAAGAAGGCTAAAAACGTTAAAAATGGAGAAATGAATCACAAAGCTGCCAAACGGGTTTTTAAATTATAGTTTGAATTATATGGTGGAATTAGATTTTAAAAGTGATATCCAAATATAAAGCGGGAGTGATAAGGTAAAAATGTAATTTCAAAACACATCCAAACAGAACTGAAATCGTTAAAATCACTAGTATTTGTGATTCTATCAAGTATTATGATAATTTAATATTACTTTTTCGAGCTCATATACCCTATCCTTACAAAATGGGGCACCCGTTCCCCATTAGTTGTTAAATTGAATATTGATAAAGCTTTCCAAGGCAATCTAGGTGCAGGAGGCGTATTTGCCGCAATGAAGATGGGCATTACCTACTTGCTTTTGCTTTCTCCATTGGGATTAAAACCAACAATGCAGCTGACCTTTGGGCTCTGGGGCAGGGTTTACTATCGAAGTTGGTTATTATGATTTGCAAATAAAGGATGACTCTTTACAAACCCTTCGCGATAATTCCGAGGCGACAGATCAATAAGCGGATGAAATGTCGTCTTCTTCACGACTGTTTGCAATTATTATCTGAGTTTATTAGCGTACACGGTTCAATTTGCTCCCACTTTTGTTCCAAAAAAAGAAAAAAAAAAACTTCAAATACAAGAATCATATAAAAAATCATGTCATTCAATATGAATTTTTTTACATAATTGTTAATTTCAAATGCAATAACCATATTAAAAAAATCTCATACAATACAAAATTTTTATTAAAAAAAAAAAAAACCTTGATAATTTGGAGAAATAGATTGATAAAGAATATCTATCATATGTCTAAAGTTCAACAGTCTTTTGATTGAGCGCCGTGTATCTCCATCGCTCCTTCTCAACGAAATCTGCATCCAGAAATTGAGCAACAAAAGCCCAAAGCCTATACATGTCTTCAAAATTGGCCAAGAATCCAAGCGCCACTGTCACCACTCTTATCCGATCGCCTTTGGTCGTCTTGTTCTCTCCATTTTTACTTTTCTCTATCACTCTCTCCCTCTCTTCTTCATACTTGTCTGCGAACCATATGTGGTGTATGAACCCATAGCTCAGCGAAATATTGCTTCGATCCGCGAGCTTCTGTACAAGAACTGGTTCAACTTTCGCTCCTTTCCAATCATACACATTGAATGCCAATGCGGGTCCTCTGTCAAATTTGATCTTTGGCCCATAGATTTTCACCAGTGGAGTCTTTTCTTCTCTGTTCGGATGTTCGAGTTTCATCATTGCGTTTATTAGCCAATTGATTAAGTACCTTGCTCTCCTACTGATCTGTATGAGTCCCAGTGAATCCACATGATCCAAACATCTACATTCGATATCTGACTTTTTTTTCCTGCTGTTTTTGCCCTTCACCTGTTCGACGAATTGACTGAGAGAGTCTGAAATTTCTGTCACTTCTGATTTGTGCGTCTCAGATGTCTTTAACTGTTCAGATCTTCCATTCTGTGCAGACACAGGACCTGACAAACAGCTTGATGTGGGTAATCCGGGTTCTTGATTGTTGCCCAATCTTGGTGCTTGCTCTAGTTCTGTGTCAGTACCTGAAGAATCGTCAGGCAGTGAAAACAACTTCTTTGCAGGGACTAGAGTTACAATCCCCGTGCTTGTTGAAGATTCCAAGACTGGAACAGTCGATTTCTTGACAAAGAGACAACCAAACCCAGTTGGATTTTCCCCAAAGACCTTGTAGAATGAACAAACAAGAAAATCGGGGCGTATAAGAGAGAGGCCAAAGCTATTCATGTCTTTTGGTCCCAAAGCACAAGCATCGAGCAAGACATGCCACCCATTTTCCTGTGCCATGCTCATCCATTGATAAGAGTAACTAGTTCCTGTAACTCTGGATTGAAGAGGGAACACAAACAGTCCCCTGTTTTTCTGCTTCTTCCTCTTCCTCACAACCATCGTTTTCAATTTTTTCGAGTGAATTCTCAGTCTAGGCCACGTGAATTCCGCTGACCTGACTCGAGCTCCTCTCTTCTCTGCAGCAATAGTCATGGCTTCAACCGCTTCACTCTCGTAGTCATAAACGGTCAAAAGCTTCCGACTAGATTGGAATGGGTACGATTCTGCAAGAAGCTTGAAAGCCGATGACCTGTTTACGGTAAAAACCATGCAGTAATCGTTTTCAGAGATATTGAGAAAATCCATAATCTTTTTTCTCATGGAGGATTCCAATTCAGATCCTTCCCCACCATGAAGTAGCTGCGACTTGAGATTCACAGACTTGTAGGACACACCGAAGAATGGAAAATCCGAAGATTGAGGCGGGGGAGAAGAAGAGGAGGATGCAATTGGGATTGTTGATGAGTACTGATTTTGTAACTGAGAGTGTGAAAACAATCCGATGCCTATGTAATCAAGACATACACGGTTGGAGAGGCAGATATGGTAGTAATCGCGAGCTCGAATTCGATCAACCTTTGTCTCCGAGTACTGTGGATAAGCATTGGTGAACTGGGTGTAAGATTCTTGCAAAGAAGGGAGAGACTCATGGTTGGTGAATTGGGTATTTTGGAAGAAAGATGAAGTGGTTGTGACGACAAAGTCGCGTCGACAGGTGGAGGAAGTGCTGCTGGATTTGGAAATAGTTTGATGGGGCTCTGATATGCTGAGGAATAATGGGTTTGGACAGCAGTTATGAAGGCATACTTGTGTTGCTTCCTTCAAGCATGGTGGCTGCATAATTTCTGGCTGATATCGTCTCTCCCCGATGTAGATTTAATTGTTTTTTTCAGTCAGTAATGGAATTTTTTGGCTCCTTATTTCTCTCTTGTTGGTTTCTTTCAACTTGCTTCCATGTTTTAAATAGGGGTTACTTATGATTGGTCAAGTGGAGTGTACAGAGTGTTTCTTTAAAGTGTGTTTTGGAGAGGTTGTTGGATGGGGTCTGCTACTATGATATATGTTGAACATCTGTTGAACTGTTCAGATTATTACTAGATTGACCTTGTCTAAATTGACGTCATTTTCGAGTTATTTGATACAACTTACTTATATTCAGTGTTTTACATGAGCCTAGTCTAAAGAGACCTTTTTGTTATATTAATTCGAAGTTCATGTTCGATATGAGGAAAGCAGAGCAAGCTGTGAAAAGATGTATTTACTTTTTGTTTTTTAATTATTAATTTTTAACTTATAAAACACCAGTTCAAATATGTCTTTATTTATTTTTTATTTTTTATATGGGACTAGCTTTTCTTCATATCCCTCCATACCTCTCTTTTGGGATTTAACCTGGACATTCACAATGATCTAAGCCGTATATCTCATAAATTTCGCAATAAAGATTTTCAATACAAAAAATTAATTTAATTAGTAAACTGTAAATCAAGAATAAATCGTGTTTTATTTTATAAAATGAACGATAATGCGATTTATTTTTGTATTTATAGTTATCTGATGAATTTAATTTTTTACATAGATAATTTTTACTGTAATGTCTATAAAATAGACAGTTCAGATCATTTAGGTATACATTGAAGTCTACAAAGAGAAAGTACTCCCGATGTGCAAATGACTAATGACTTTTTGATCTCAACCATCCAACTGGTATTATAAGTGATCATTAACAAATATAATCCAACGTATCTGAATTAGAGTCTTGACACAATTTTAATCTGTCATTCGATGGTATCATGTCTTTTCATTGGATCGACAGTGAAGCCATTGGGTTACCCTTCGCTTTTTCTTTTTCTTTTTCTTTTTTTTTGGTGGATTTGACGATGTAAATAAAGGTGACTGCGAGGATATTTCAGTAATTTGGGATTTCTTAAGAGAGTGGAGATTGAGAAAAGATAAAAAGCAAGCGAAGTAAGAGGAAGAAGTGGTCGACAAAAGTGGGATTGGTACTGGCCGGCAGTATCATCAATGCTTAGAGTTGGCCAAAAGAAGTTTTCTTTCTTTATTATGGGAGTTTGGAACGAGTCTTTCATTTTTTTAGTTTCAAACTAAAGTTGACATCTTCCCATAAAATGCACCAAACATGTAAATGTAACGTAGTGTGTAGCCGAATAAAAGCAGACGTAAATAGATAGTGTATATTTTCTTAATCGGTGTATAATATGCATTCGGTCCCGTTCCTGACGTTTCAGATGCTAAATAGGTTGAGCAGGGGGCCGATTAAAAGTTGGAATACGGCATAATGGGGGGAGCCGAGTGCATAAGTACATGATAAATCAAGAGCGGGCCCGGCTTAGAAGACCAGGAGTGTATATAAATAGAAGAACGACGAACAAGAAGAGGTATGTGAGAATTAGTACGCTTAACTCAAGACACACGCAATCTAGAGAGCATACACTGACTTATCCGTCAGAGTGCTAATTCCGGCACCCCCGACCGGAGTGTTCATTCTTTTTCAGGCTACCAGCTGAGGATCTCGAACGTCCCATTAGATCCAAAGAGTATTTCCAAACTACCTTCCATCGCTGACGAAACTACACCGAGAGATGATCTCACCCCAACAAGCATGTTGGGACCAGAGACTATCGTCGCAAGACGCGCCTTGAACTTCGACTCACCCTCGACTTCAGTGCATGAGACAATGCAAGCGATCATGGAACAAGCAAAGCAAAATGAACAGAGGTTGGAGAACATGATCGCTGAGAACAAACGTCTCCGTCAGGATTTGGCCTTGGAAGTGGTGAAGTCCAAACAAGCTATACGCCAAGATCCGAAACGACCTCTGAGGGTAGGTGGTCAACGACCTCAAGCCCGACAACAAGACACTGATAGCGACTCTGACTCATTATCCCCGGAGCTCAAGAAGAAGGAACGACCCGAAACTACCCGTTCCTCTGAAGAGAATCCACGTATAAGGCATAAGCGAAGACGAAATGGTTCAGACGAAGAGGACCAGCACGATCCCTTTGTGCGACGGATCGCAAAGGTAGTACTACCCAAGAAGTTCAAAGCCCCACGTTCACCTAGTACGACGGGAAATTGGATCCCACGAATCATATCCGTCACTATAAGCAAGCCATGACGTTGCATGCAGACGACGAAGCTCTCATGTGCATAATATTTTTGAACAGTTCGGAACCGTTGGCAGTCAGATGGTACTATAAGTTGGAGCCGGCGTCGATTAAGAGTTTTCATCAATTACAAAAATCTTTCAGGGCAAGATTCATCACCAACGAGGTCCAACTGAAACAAGCTGACTCTCTCTGGGCAATGCAGATCCAGCCAGGAGAAACACTAAGAGTGTATTCGAAACCACGTAGAGAGACGACCTCACCCCAGCAAACATGCTTAGACCGGAGACTATCCCCGCGAGACGCACTTTGAACTTCGCCTCACCCTCGACTTCAGAGCATGAGGCAATGCAAGCGATCATGGAACAAGCAAATCAAAATTAACAAAGGTTGGAGAACATGATCGCTGAGAACAAACGTCTCCGTCAGGATTTGGCCTTGGAAGTGGTGAAGTCCAAACAAGCTATACGCCAAGATCCGAAACGACCTCTGAGGGTAGGTGGTCAACGACCTCAAGCCCGACAACAAGACACTGATAGCGACTTTGACTCATTATCCCCGGAGCTCAAGAAGAAGGGACAACCCGAAACTACCCGTTCCTCTGAAGAGAATCCACGTATAAGGCATAAGTGAAGACGAAATGGTTCAGACGAAGAGGACCAGCACGATCCCTTTGTGCGACGGATCGCAAAGGCAGTACTACCCAAGAAGTTCAAAGCCCCACGCTCACCTAGTACGACGGGAAATTGGATCCCGCGGATCATATCCGTCACTATAAGCAAGCCATGACGTTGCATGCAGACAACGAAGCTCTCATGTGCATAATATTTTTGAACAGTTCGGAACCGTTGGCAGTCAGATGGTACTATAAGTTGGAGCCGGCGTCGATTAAGAGTTTTCATCAATTACAAAAATCTTTCAGGGCAAGATTCATCACCAACGAGGTCCAACTGAAACAAGCTGACTCTCTCTGGGCAATGCAGATCCAGCCAGGAGAAACACTAAGAGTGTATTCGGCGTGCTATTGGGAGTGCTTTAATCTTGTTGATAACGCTTGCAACGACTCCATGGCCATCACTGCTTTTAAAATGGGTTTGCATCCTGATAGTGCTCTCCGCACTTCCTTGACTAGAAGGCCCCCCAAAACAGTCTGGTCGTTGATGAAGAAAGTTGAGGAATACTGCAAAGTGGAAGACGACGCCTTGCTGGTTAAAGCCGGGAACAAGGCCAACAAGACGGCCCATCCTGAAATTGTTCAGTCGGTAAACTCTGTGTCACCTTGGAGTCCCGAACCACAGTATCAGGTTAAACGAGAAAAGACACGGGATTTATGCCGATCAAATGACCAATGTTCCCACTAAGCTAGCGAACAACTTCAAGTAGATAGCAGGCGCACAAGGCGCACGAACAAGAAGTATACGGAGTTGTCGGAGCTGATCAGTGTGGTTATGTCTAAAGTCCAACATCTTCCATTCTTCAAATGGCCACCCAAAATGGTGGGACCTCCCAACACGAGACGACGAGATAGGCGGTGCGAGTATCACAAAGACCACGACCATGATGCTGAGAGTTGTTATGCATTGAAGGATCACTTGGAGGAATTGGTACAAGATGGTCGGCTACAACAGTATGTCTGAAAAGGCAACTCAACCAAAGCAATAGCCTTAAGATAGGATTCACCTCCACTCAGCGTGATCCACATGATATACAGCCTACCAGCGGCATCCGTGGTGCATACGATTCAGTCGCGTCCCGACCCCCAAAATCAACTCACCTCGGTTAAACAGCCCCATGAAGCTGCGAGTATTGCCTTCGATGATTCAGATTTGGCCGGAGTGACACTTCTTCACATCGATCCTTTGGTAATCGAGTTACGCGTAAATCGATTCACCGTTTAGCGCATACTCATTGATCCTGGGAGCACATCGGAAGTTATGTATTACAAGACATTCACCAAACTCGGCACCACCAAATTGGATCTTTCTCTAGCTCCTTACCCATTATTCGGCTTCAACGCCAATCCAGAGTACCCGTTGGGCAAAATCACGATACCAGTTCGAGCAGGCTCGTGAACAGTGAATGTGGAATTCTTGGTCGTGAAGCTGCCCTCGCCGTATAACCTCATCATGGACCGAACTTGACTGCACACCATGCAGGCCAGGCCAAGCACCTATCATCAATTGCTCCGTTTTCCTACTGAACGAGGCATTGAACAAATCCGAGGTTCACAGAAATCGGCACAAACATGTTATCTCTTTGCTGCGAAGACACCAAGAGAGCTGGAAGTGAATTCTATTGAGGTGCTAGATTGAGAGAGCCTTGACGATGTTGGACGACTTCCAATCAAAAAGGCCACGGAAACCCTAGATCGAGTTGAAATTGCCAGGAATCCTGACAGGTTCTTCATGAACGGTGCCTCCCTGAACGAAGTTGACAGACAGCAGCTAACCTTCTTACTCGGCAACCTTGATGTATTTGTGTGGTCGCCGTATGAGATGTCAGGGGTAGATCCATCTGTCTCTCAGTATCGTTTGAATGTTGACCCTAAATATAAGTCGATTATACAGAAAAGCTGGCAGTCAGCCGCAGAGCACACTACCGCCGTTGTTGAAGAGGTTGACCAATTGCTTGACGCCGGAGCTATCAGGGAAGTGACCTACCCTACATGGCTCTCGAATACTGTGGTCGTGAAGAAGAAAAATGGGACTTGGCGTGTCTGCGTTGATTTCACCGACCTAAACAAAGCTTGCCCCAAGGATTGTTTTTCCCTACCCAGAATTGATCAACTTGTAGATGCTACGACACGTCACCAGCG